CCTTTTTCACTTTCTTCATTTTTCTTTTGCAAATTGACTAAAAAGTTGAGTTACATTTTTCTGATTAACATTTATGCAAAAGTAATCAGAAGCATTTGCTGGAGTTCACTTTAAACATCCACTATAGCAGCTTGGACGTAATTTTCATTTCCAAGAAACAGAACAGGCTCAAGCTAAGCTTGGCTGGACCCATGCACATGCTTTCTAAGGGCCAGTAACATCCGACTGAAACCATCTACACAGCAGGCACTCAAGGCAGACAATTCTTGCAATGAAAATAGTTCATACCTTCTTGTAACTTTCCTGGAGATTTCTTTGTGCTAAGGAAGAACAAAAAAACAATGACTGGAAAGACAGCAAGATTATCCAAACATGTTAACACAATTCCTTCTGGTTTACACAGTTAACACACTTGCCCCTTTCATTTCCACCATCCTGGTTATTTTTAGTAGAGCAAGGAGGAGGAAAAGGGAGAGAGGTGAGTGTGTGTGTATATACATTTTTTTTTTTAAGAGATTTTTTTTGCTATAGGGTACGTGTGCTTGCCAGAAAAACAACAGAAAACGAGAAATCACTGCCCCGCCCCCCGAAGGCGGGAAGGCCACACCATAATCCCTTCTCCTCCATTCTCCTCTTGGGATTTTGAGCACGTATTTACACATGCCTGGTGTCAGTTTGCAGGTGCTGGGTCCGGGACTTGAACCACAATCGCCTACATGGGAGTCCAGTGACATAACTGCTATATTATCTGCTGGTCCCAGCACAGTTAAAGATTGAAGAAGGAGCTATAAAGTGGAGCACTCAGAATATGAAAAGGAACTAAGCCTGCCTCATTTTAATTAGAAAAATTGCATAGGACTGATTTGACAATGAAGACACAAAAGACAAAGATAGAGACAAGAAAAAACCTCAGGAGATCTGGTCTAATAAGGGACATGTAAACCGACAACCTAGTGCAAGCAAACAATACAGTGCAGGAGGCAGGAGCACTGCACAGGAGGAAGACTACACACAGGAGGAAGCCAGAAGGAAGAGGGGACACCCGACCTTGGTTCTGAACAATGACAGGGAACATGCCACCACGCAGTTCCGCTCATGTGTGTAATATACGTGGGATCTGAATAACTCGAAAAGTTATTTCATTGAAATCTGCAAAATACTGGCCTCAGCTTCAGTGGAGGCCAAACACCTGAACTTAAAGCATTAAGGTGAGACGAGAGAAAATCCCCTGAAATATTTAGAAGTCTAAATTTAGTAGGGTTTGACTTGTCCCATGGGATAGACTAAGATGACAACTACAGCTTTTAGCTTTAAACATTCAGTGAACGGCCAAGACGCTAAATACGTTGGTGGCAGGTAAGGCATAGGAGACAAGATGAGTTTTAGGAGCTGTGGGTAAATGTCTGCTACCAATTAAAAGGCTGCAAAATGCTTTTTCACTCACCACCATCTGCTTTGCCTGTACAAAAATGGCAGGCACTCAACAGTATAGTGAATGGACATACCACAACCAGGGACTCAGAAGGTAGAGTTACCGCAGAAAACTAAGAAGTGGAGTATTTCCTTCCATCGTTCCCACCACATTCAATTACTGCTGTATAGCTTTTTAAACTTAAGCTCTATAGATCGATTATATGGATTCAACCAAATGCCTGTACCAATAAGCATTTCACAGATAGATGCATAAAAACAATGATATAGAAGATCTATTACTTACTTGGTCTGGGGAGCTGCAGTCAACTTCTCTAGAATAGCATCCGGAAGGAGTTTTCTTTTCTTTTAGAATAAAAACATTTAAAAATAAGATGATGCACACGCAAAAAAGTATGGCTGCAGTTGCTTTTGAAGTAACTGATTTTAAGGACAGCCCTACATCTAGCAAATAAATGAATGAAGAGGAGTACTGCTCCCACTACCTAAGCCCTGGGAAGTCTGGGTCTGCAGAACTCGGAACCTGTTCCACATTCTCTGGAAGGCCAGGTGAAATCTGCAAAGAATGCCCACCATAGTCCAACCCTCAGGCCGCTGCTGTAAACGTACCCAACCCCAGACAGTGGAGTAACCGTGCCCTGTGCGGGTACAGCCCTTAGCTTGGAAATCACATCGACTTCTCACAACCACCTAGCTGCAGATCAACTAGCTCTACGAGACTAGATGACTGGATGAAATTATCTAACCCTCACGTCTTCGAAATCACAGCTCTTCCCACTCCTGTCTAAATCGGTGGGCGCAGAGGGTACGAGCATCTTCCATCCCGCCGCTGTCAGAAGAGACACGGGTGACTTGTCCCCCGCTCCAATTTCCTTCTAGCCCAGACGGCATCCAACGTGGGACGTCTACCCCCAGCCCGGCTGTTCGTAAAAGAAATGCCTCCGTAGCCCTCTAACCTTTTGTTCGATGAACAGCTCCTCGCGTCGCTTCCTCTTCTCCTTGAGGAGTGTTTTATCCCTGGGAGAAAAGGTGACAGGTCAGCGCGAGGAGGGACAGACACATGGGCGGGGCGGACAGGACCAGATCTCTCCGCCCAGCCGCGGGCTCCGAACCTGCGCAGGGTCTCCCGCACCCGCCGCTCCTCTTCCATA